CATTCTGTCTTCAAATGGTGTCCAAGATGACTTAGATGAGCTAAGGAAACTTCCCATCGCTAGTTAGTGCCCTGGGGAGAGTCCATGTGAGACAATGAGCAGAGGGCAAGGAGACGCTTTGATCAGGGGCCCAATACAGAAGTCCTTGGGCAGTGCCAATGGCGAGGGGATTGGCTGCCAACAGAAAGGTTGGTGGTTTGAGCACCCCCCTTCCCCACCCCATCACCCTGAGTTGCCTCAGAAGCAAGAGCGGGCCGTCTGGTCTACTTCTGAGAAATCACCTGTTGAACATATACACCATGGAGTACAGGTCCAAACTGGCTCCCTCGGGGATGGGGATTGATGAGAGTCAGAAGCAGGGGGGACAGAAGCCAGGTTTGTTTTATGTTTTTCTTTTCCTGTTATAGCCCTGCTGGGGTAGTGGTTGTGCTTTGTGCTGCAATCCGCAAGGTCCAACGTTTGAAAAGACCAGCTGCTCCAAAGGAGAAAGATGGGGCTTTCTATTCCCATGAACAGTTGCCGTCTCAGAAACTCATGGGAGCAGTTCTACCTTGTCCTATTGCAGTGGTTCTCAACTTGTGGGTCACGACCCCTTTGGGGGTCAAAAGACCCTTTCACAGGGGTCGTCCAACTCATCACAGTAGCAAAATGACTGATGAAGTAGCAACGAAAATAATTTGATGGTTGGGGGTCACCACCACATGAGGAACCGGATGAAAGGGTCGCAGCATGAGGAAGGTGGAGAACCGCTGCCCTATCGGATCCCTGAGACTACATCGACTGGGCTGGACTTTCCAGGACAGTGGCTTATGCACAGCTGAAAGCCCCGAGGGGGGATGCTTTGTGAAAACAAAAGGGAGCGTCCTAACACCCAGAGGGTTCTGGGACAGGGGCTTGTTTCAAGTCATAAGGCGGGGAGCCTTGGGAAGGTGCCTTTAAGAGACGCACGCCCCCCACACACACACACACACTTGCCCATTTTCAAAATCCACCTTGCTTAGTTTGCTCCTGTTGTCGTGTTTGGGAGATATTGTGGGTTTTTAAGAACAAACCGAAAAGACTGTGACAACCCTGCAGGCAGCAAGTCTCTGGGCACCAATTTCCCAACAGCCGTGCTCACTCCGGTCTCTGCGTCACACGGTCTCTGCGCCACACGGTCTCTGCGTCACACGGTCTCTGCGCCACACGGCCTTCTCACATGTCTTCCTTCTGTGTCATAACGCCATAGCACACTGCACGGCCGACAGCATCGTGTCAACGTGACTCTGGCACGCACTGCGAAACCAGAGCTTTTGTGTGGCTGGTGTGACTGCGAGAAGAGCCTGCCGGCAGCGGTCTGAGGCCAGCCTGTTCCCATGCCATACAGACAGAATAGGATGACACGTGTAAGGCCCGACTCAGACCTAACCCCACACCAAAGCACAACCATGGAGTTGATTCTGACTCAGAACAACCTGATAGGACACAACAGAACTGCTCCCTGGGGTTTCTGAGACTGTAAATCTTTAAGGGATCAAATAGCCTCATCTTTCTCCTACAGAGCAGCTGGTAGGCTTGAACCACTGATGTTGCAGTTAGCAGCCTAATGCTTACCTTATTCAGCTACCAGGGCTCCCTAGCTCAAGGGCTAGCACTCAATACACTGTACTCCTAACTAGGTGTTCAATAGAGATCTAAATTGGACTTTGGGAGATCCTTTTCACCCACATCCCATACAGAAAAGACACGTTGGTCTTGTGCAAATACTTTGCAGAGCCTAAGATGCATCTTTTTCTGTATCGTGGTTACCACGTTGGGCTGCGATCCACATGGTCAGCAGTTCAAAATCACCAGCCGCTCCAAGGAAGAAAAAGTGTAAACAGTAAACAGTTGTAGTCTGCGGTCGCTATGAGTCAGCATCAACTCAATGACAGGGAGTATTCATTAAATGCTGCACAAGACCTCTTTAGGGTCTTGAAAAGCAAGGATGTTCCTTTGAAGACTAAGGTGAGCCAGACCCAAGCCCTGGTATTCTCCATTGCTTCATAGCTTGACTTTGAATAAGGAAGATGGTGGAAGAATTGATGCATTTGGATTGGGTGGCTGGGAAAGAATATTGAAAATACCATGGAGCTAAAAGGACAAACCGATCTAGGAAGAAATGCGGCTGAGTGCTCCTTAGAGGCAAGGATGGCAAGACTTTGTCTTACATATTCTGGAAATGTTCTCAGAAGAGACTCGTCCTTGGAGAAGGAAATCATACTTGGTAAAATAGAGAGGCAGCAAAAAAGAAGAAGGCCCTTCCAAAGATGGGTGGACACAGTGGCTGCAGCTGTGGGTTCCAGCAGAGGAACAGTTGTGTGGATGGCGCAGGACTGGGCAGTGTTTTGTTCTCTTGTGCACAGGGGTCACTATGGGTCAGAGCCAACTCGATGGCACCTAATAACAAAAACGATGCATTTAATGGCTTACACACAAAACATAGGCTGTCATGCATATCAAGGACACATGCACTTGGATCACACAAGTAGAATGAAGACAGTGTTAGGTGAATTTTTTTTTAAATGTAGCCAGTTTTTGTCATCAAAATTACACTCTCTTTCTGGGATTTACTCAAAGCAATCCCCTGGGGGTTTCTGAAACTATAACTGCTTACAAGAATAGAAAGCCCAGTCTTCGTCCCACGGAGCTGCTGGTGGGTTTGAATTGCGGATCTCAGCCCAACACGCAGCCACTACTCCACTTGATGGCAGTGAGTTTGCTTGTTTGCTTTCTAGACTTTACCCTGGTCTAGAAGGACACCGCTAGTTATGTGGAAATGGCATCTCACTGTGGAAGGAGGATTTGAACTCACCACTTTCATTGCAATGGTAATCATCCGGTCTTCCCAGCTGCTCCAACCAAATGTCCTCACTTGAGGAAGACTCCGCATCACCAAAGATCCTTCCGTGAAGCCAGGACTTGGAGGTGCTGGCATGGAAGAGAGAAGAGAGGGAGTGGCGGCTCCTCTTTTTTTTCCTGAATATTCTAGAGAGAAATGAAAGGCACATGATGAGAAGTGATCAGAATTGGCCCTATAGGTTTCCAAGGCTGTAAATCTTTATGGAAGGAGAAAGCCTCATTTTTCTCCAGAGGAGGTGTTGGCAGTTTTGAACTGCTGACCTTGTGGCTGGCAGCTCAGCTTATAATGCACTATGCCATCGAGGAACCTCATAGAGATAAAGAGGAGTAGAAACAATGAAAATATTGTCAGGAACTAACTCATATGGGACAGAAAAACAGTTTTGACCTGTTTCCTAGGTACCTTGCTGAATTACATCTCCTAGAAACCTTTGCCAACAAGGATAGCCGTGAGTCTAAGGTCTTCCCAGTAAAGAGTGAGCAGAAGCAATGTACACCACCTCTGGGCTGGATTCTCAAGGAAAGCACGTGACTCTCTGCTTTACTTTCCTTCTACTTTCAATAGTTGTCTTGTGGAGACTCAGTCTTGGTCATGTCACTGTTGATGAGGTCATAAATGTTGGAAGAACCTAAAGATGAATGGGTCCTGGGGCTCTGAGTCCCCTCTTCGAGGTGGAACACTGGTCTACACTTGGACCATTGCATTGCAAGAGCCAGCATGAGCAAGAGATAAAGTTTGGTTTTGTTTGGCCCATCACATGTTTAAATCCAGAGGTTACCACCATTTCACATGTGCGGATGAGTCCACTGATGAGGACAGATCAAAGGGGAGCATGAATAAAGAAGAAGCGTTTGGTATGGCCACCAAGAGAGTGTGTGGTAGAGAACGCAGGAGAAGCATGTTTAAAGGAAAGAGGACCTCGTCTCACTTTGCACCCATTAGATTTAAGATCCTTTTAGAAAATCCATACGAAATCACTGGATGTAGAGTCCAGTTCAGAAAAGAGAACTAGGTTAGAGAGAAAACCTAGGCATCACCAGAGTGGCAAATCGGATTACCGTTCAGTATTCCTGCCTTCTTTTTCTCACCCACCTCCATTTTTCTGCCCCTTGATTCTGGTCTGCCATATGCCTTGAAATGACCGATGGGATGTTAGCATGCTGAAGATGCAGAAGCTTGCAAAGGACTTCTTATTGGGCTGCATCCTTTGCTTTCTCTGAGAATCGGGAATTGTGTCTTTCATATAGTCCCACTCATTACTCTCACTCATGGCCATCGAGTCAATGCCCACTCCTTGAATGGAGCACACCATTCCTATCTGGAGTCAAGTTCAGCTTCATCCAGACCTCATTCTCACCAACTGATTTCCAAACATGTGTGTATCCTTGGTGTTACAGGCTTCTGAGATGTTCTACCTGTTCCTTACGGAGCATTACTGTATCCACAGCTGACTGACACAGTCATCATGTAGGTGGTTCTAGAAGCATCGCTCCAATCTCTGCCTTTCTGGTCACATGGTTTCTCTCCTCTGGACTCATGTCTCTTCTCCTCTCCTTACAAGGACACCAGTCACATTAGATTTGGGGGTCTATCCTACTCTAGTATAACCTTATCTTAAGTAATTGCAGCTGAAAGCACTCTACTTCAAATAAGATCACATTCTCAGTCTGTAAGAAAGACTTGAGCTGGTGATGATGAGGTTATTCAACTCAGTACCGTACCCTTTATTTCCATTCCCCTGTTACCACGGTTTTATCTTAATTCCTAATGCTTTCTTTCAGTTCCTGGAGATGGTGACTCCAAGTTTTGCCCCCTCTGTCTACTCATGAACTCACACTCTAGCAATCCATTCTCCTCACCATAACCACTGTTCTTGAGCCACACGTGTTCTAAGAGCCCGTTGTCAGTGGCCCTTTTTCTCTATACAGCTCAAGCGCCTTCGTCAAGAAGTTCACCCCCTCCCTCCAGCCCTTCTCCCCAGCCGAGTGTCTCTCTCGGCAGAGTGCTTCTTGCCAAACTATTTGTCATTCTCCAAAGTGCCTGAGAATCTCTCTGAACTCCAAGACTCTTCTTCCTCTTTGGAGATGAGTCTCCTTCCATTCTCCTTCGACCTTGAATTAGAATTCTACATCTCTCACGAGTCAAACCAATCATCAGCATCTCTGCTCTCCCTCACCAGTTGCCAAGTCAAAGTGGCCACCCTCTCTCTTTCCCCGTCCATGCACCCTGTATAGATTCCTGTCTCAGCACCTGCATTGTTTCATTATTCGTGTCTGTACCCATGACAGCTACCCTTATCCTTTATTATCAAATCTCCAAAGCCAAGAGTAATAGTAGGCTCTTGTACATACGTGTACAAGCTCCTGTATACCAGCATACAGGACCGTTGAATGAAGAACTGAAGGAATGAAAATTTAGTGGGTGACGGTTAATGGATGTATGGGATTCAGAGTCTCTTGGTGGCTTCCCCTACTTACCGAATTAAGTTCTCCTTGTACATAACACTGGTCTGGGAAGGACGCAGAGTCAGGTGGCCTTCGTCGTCACAGAAGAAGCTGTCTTCAGTCCAAATGTAGTAGCCATTGGTGAGGAGTCTGGGACTTCGACGACAGGTCAGGTGGGAGCCTGTGAGGGGATCTACAGAGCAGCATTCAAAAGAACTGTCCCCATCCAGGGCACCACAGGCCAAGCTAAAGGGGGAACAAAGAACAGCTGTTCACCTCTATCCAGCACTGTTACGGAAAACAACATCTTACTTCCCCGGCTACTCGGGGTTATTGTCACAACCCTAAGATTGTCACTCCCAGCCTTCTGGGCTTTATCTCCTTTGAGCATTGAACCGACAAGACCGTTAGTGCTTCTGTCTGCCATAAACTTTAGTGGAAACACCGCGGATACTCCGCTTCTTCACCATATAATGAACCTGAAACATTGACATTTGTTCATTCTCCGGATGAAAGCACTGTAGAATGGGCTTATGGGAATGTTGGGAGGTCCCAATCCCTCTCATATCCTTTTCTTTGAAGAGCCCTCTAATGCCAGGCCTTACTTTTGACACTGGGATAGAGGTATTAAAATGATGTATCCAGTAGACCTGCATGAGCCATATAGTACGGATACAAGGATAAGTCAAAAAGGAATTGCTACCGGGGTTCCAGTTCATATATGCAATGGTTTATATCAAACAAATAGGAACCCTGGTGGTGCAGTGATTACAAGTTGGGCTGCTAACCACAAGGTCAGCAGTTCAAAACCACCAAAACATGGCCAGCAACATTGCACTGAAGAGAGTTTTCCTTCTTGGGGGTAGAAACAGCTGTCCTACAACAATTCCATTGGGAAACCTACCCTGATTCAGCTTACCATCCTGCCCTTGCCCCATCAGAATTCTTTTCCAGTCCACACTCAAAGGACATGGGAAAAGAGCATGATTAGAGTCCCACAAATCAAAGAGAGCAGACTTCTTTGGGGTAGTGGTTAGGGAGATGGAAGAGCCACCCTCATAAGTATCTAGACCTAGATAGGAGACACATTGAGAGATAATAGCTTCACATTTTGATGGTTCTGTTTAACAAAAGCTGCAATCATTGTCTAGCCCTATCTTTGTACAGTCAAAGCAATCACAAAGGGCATAGCCTTTCCCCCTCGCTGCAGCTACACCAATGGTGAAACACTACCATCCTGATTCAGTGCCTCGAGTCATCTCACACTTCATTAGGTACATGTGTCTTGGGCTTAAAAACCAATCACGTGTCCAAGTGATTGAACAGCATCCAAAATGATGAAAACATTCTAGAAATTTGAAAGTTCTTGAGATGGAATTTGGTAGCAGGTAGTGACAATTATTGAGCCGTACAGCAAACAAGAAGGAGGTCATTATTTCCTCAGGCAAAATTGCTTATGTCCCCCCGTCTCTTCAGACAAACATTATTATTTATTTTCATCCTGAACTCTAAATCTTACCAGATTTCATTGTGATTTTGTTGTACCTATGCCTGCTTTCATAATTATTTTATACATTCCTGGAGGGCAGGGGCTCTGTGCCTAAAAGACACTTAGCACATCAATACAGTCAATCCTACTTGCTGAAAGACATCACCTGGCAGGATATGGAAATCAAATCTTTAAAAATAAATATCGTTTCTGACTATATCTGAATCCACAGGGCCGTTCCATGTCCATCAATCAATATTGCTAACAATAGCACTCGTGTACTTGTTGCCTTGAAACTTTCAAACGATTTCTGCAGAAATATGTTCCACAAGAGGATGCAACTCCAGAGAACCGCAGACTCTAAGAATTAGAAGGAGTTTTAACCATTCCTCCACAAACCCACCAAGTCCTGCTTGTCCCACCTGCTGTATTTCTGACAGAAGTTGCTCAGGCTTTGCTTGCACGCCCTCAGGGATAGGGGCGCCACCACTTAGCAAGCCGCCTGCCTTGACTGCACAAGTATGGTCTGGAGTGAAGTGGGAAAGGCATGGAATTTGGAAACAAACACAAACCCAGTGCCATGGGGTCAATTCCATCTTACGATGACCCGAAATGGGATTTCTGAGACTGCCATCTCAACAGGAGCTACGGCCTCATCTTTCTCTTGAAGTGGCTGATGGGTTTGAACTGCTGACCTTGCGGTTAGCAGTCCAACACTTACCCAACATTGTCACTGAGGCTCTTTTGGAACCAACCCACCCAACATTTATCATCCCAACTCTGCCATTAACTAGCTGAGTCACCTGAACCCAGTCCTTTAACCTCCCTGGAACTGTCCTCCTTTGGCAGAAGGAGAGAACTAACACCTCCTTTATGGGGAGAATGAGAGATGTGCTCAGCACATACCTTCTCCAGCCACGGAGAGACCGTGCCTGGAGAAGGACATCATGCTTGGTTATGTAGAAGGACAGCAAAAAAGGAGGAAGGCCCGACGAGATGGCGCAGGCCTCGCGGTGTTTTACTCTGTGGTCTTTAGGGTCCATGTGAGTCAGAACCAACGGGGTAGCATCTACCGACAGCATTAGTGGGAATTGACTCAGTGGCAGTGGGAAGAGCTGATTCTTTTCCACAGGTACCTTCCAGGGGTTTTACCGACTCCTAGCCCAACACAAAACCCCCGCAGCCTGCTCAACATCTTAAGACCCTCTTGTGAGGGTCCGAGCCAGATCTTGAAGGATTGCTGGAGGCCACACCTCACAGGACAGCACAAACGCTTGTCTGTGAAGGGACAGACATCATTGGAGCTTGAAAGAAGTAATTATTTGTGCAATGATTGCTTGTCCTTCTCCCTCAAGTTCTATGGAATTTCTGGTGCATTTTGTTATTTAAAGACCTGTGTACAATTAACACAGGCACTCAAGTTAAAACACACAAAAAAATTCACTGCCATCCAGTCGATTCCAACTCACAGTGACCCTATAGGACAGAGTAGAACTGCCCCTGTGAGTTTCTGAGACTGTCACTCCTTGTGAGAGTAGAAATCTTTGTCTTTCTCTGAAACACTTGCTGTTTTTGAACTTATGACCTGTCAGTAGCGCAACTCATAACCAGGACACCGCGGAGCTCCTGGTACCCAAGTTAGTGGAACACTATTTAAATGGGATGTTATTTGTTGAGCACTTACTGTGGGCCTGGCCCAGGGCTTTACATTTTATTCTTCCCAAACCTCCCTGAAAGCTAAGCTACCCTTTGCCTTCATCGTACAGCAGTACAATCACGAGTTAAGTGAGATCCAGAAGGGGAAAGATATTGGGCATTTTGCATAGTTAGCTCGTGAGGGAGCTAGGATTTGAACCCTCATATCTTTGAAGCTAACACATGTACTCTTTTCATTTTGCTGATTCTTCCTTGGCTGATGCATTTGGGAGTCGTTGTGGGGTGGGGAGTTGGTGTCTAGAATTTGCAGTAAGGCATAACTCCTATTACTCCTGCTTGATTCCCTTCTGCTATTGGTAAAGTTTCAAAATGCCTGGGGGGAAATCAACAGATGCTTCCACAAGAAGTACCAGACAGACAGAGAAGGTGGAGGGGAAGGAAAGAGAGGTTGTTGAACAAAATGGTAGACTTGAGCAAGATGTAGCCTATACGTTATAGGGGAACCTTCGATTGAGCTTATACATTCCTGTAGAAGCCTGCTGCTCTCCAGAGAAGAAACAGCTGATATAGAAAGAGCCATCTGACATCGGTATTTCATCGTTTCTCCACTCACTGAACACACAGTCCCCACCTACACATACGCACATCCAATATTAGGAAAACTTTCGTTTTGTTTATTAGGCTAGGCACATTTTCATTTTGTATGTGCGTGGGACTGAAAATGCATAGTCATTAGCAGAGCTACATGATAACTAAAAATAGCCATGTCAAAACAGGGTTGTAGCAAATAAGACACACAGGAAGAGAATTTGAGGGGCTTTCCCACCCCGTAGGATACCTTGGGAAAAGGCAGGTGGGAGACAGCGCTCTGGTGTGTTCTCTCTCTGACCCGGAAGACCCTGCATCAACAAATGAGAGAGATGTAGAAATGGATTACACCTCAGCAACCGGGATATCCACCAACAGAGGGGGCTTATGGAGAAAATGGCTCAGGCTGATGGTCCAGGCTCAGCAGAACGATTCGAATGGTGTCACCCACCAGTGAATTAGGACCGACACAAGTTGTCCCCAGGCCTCTATGGGAGAGAGATCATCTAGGGACACGTGCCCTCCGCCTCTACTCTTAGGCACCAGCCCTTTGGCAGTCCCCTGGTGCGGGATGGAACAAGGATTAAGCCCTTGGCGTCAGACTAAGTTCAGAACAATGCAGAAGAAAGCATGTTGTGTGAAGCTGTAGGGAACTAGAATAAACCACACAACATATTGGTTATTTGACTTCATCAGTAATTGGAGTCATCCTGTCTACCCAGGCTCTCCCTCATTAATGCACTTTGGGGCATTTCCATTGTCAAACAATGAGCATGGGGAGATAAAAAGATTTAGAAGACCACCCTTGGCCTCAATGATTCTTCAATATATAAAGTGAGTAATCTTAATTAAAAAAACAAAACAAAAGCATTCATTCATTCCAGTGTAAGAAAACACGTGCAAGGAGACTTCAGTGATAGAGGGAGGCAGCTCATGAATATTCTGAACTCGAAGGGAGGAGTTGGTGCTACCCGGTGGCATTGTCAGTAAGGCCAATAGACAGACTGGGTCCCACTTGATAGCATCGCTGAGAGCCAGTCCCCGAGCCAAAGCAAGGGGTTCACACTTTCAGATTACGCCGGCTGATTGGTAAGGAGGAAATGGTGGGTGTGGGAGGGAGGGCTAGAAGTGGGGTTTGGAGAGAAAACAAGAGGAAGGAAGAAATTTAAAGTGCAACCACTTTAACAACACCCTCGTTTGGGGGTTTTTTGGTTGTTTTTTTTACACACAGCTATCAAACTCATACCGTCTTTTTTTTTTTTTGATACAGTTTTGCATCTTAATAGTAGCTGATAAACAGTCTCCTTTCACATTTATGCATAAGCATCTAAAAAAAAGGGTGTTATTTTTTCCCTTCTAAAAGAAAAAAACCCGTTTCTCTCAAGGAAAGAAACGAAGTCAAAATCATTGCCAAAGCAAACACTGGCATTTAAGAAGCACAAGCTACTGACAGATGGCTAATGGTACGAGGATCAGCAAAATCAGAGCAAGGAAATTGCTCAAAGGAGGCTAATCATTCAGAAGATAATTGCACATCTCGGCTCTCCCACCCTTACTTGTGACTGGTGTTGACATCAGTTGGGATATCCGGTGCATGTTGGGAAGGCTGCTCGTCCAGCGATCACAGATTATTCTGCAAAAGACATTGGCAGGGGTGGGGTGGGGGTGGGAAGAGGTGGGTTCTATATTAAAAATAGACAAATGATCCCCAAACAGATGGCACCTACTAATTGCGCTAAAGCCGGAGTTGTTGGCTGAAAGATTACAGAGATGCTGACTTGAAGGTGGGGGGGGGCGACAGGGAGGAAGCAAAGCTAGGGTTGTGTTTGCCCCTGTGTATTTTAGGGGAGCATTTTCCATCCTCTTACTTGGTGGACCTCAACATTCTTTTTCTTTAAAGGTTGTCAGCAGCTGTCGAATTCATTTCAACTCGCAGCCACTCCATGCGACGGCATAGAACAGCCCCATGGGATCGTTGTGCTTTGGGCTGCTAACCACAGGTCAGTTGTTTGAAACCACCAGCTAGCTGGTCCTCGGGAAGAAGAAGAGGCTTTCTACTCCCATAAACACTTAGTCTCAGAAATCCACAAGACCCGGTCTATCCTGTCCTATAGGGTCACTCACTGTGAGTCCACATCAACCCGAGGTGGGTTGAATTTGGAAGAGTGATTACAGGAGTCAGTTGTCTAGGTCTTTAAACTGTGAACGCTGTGGGTGGGTTCAAGCCAGCAACCTTTGAGGTAGCAGCCAACCACTTCATCATTCGGCCTCCAGGGCTCCTTTGTCTTTCAAATATGAGCGTCATTTTATTGGAGAAAGCTACGCTTTACAAAGGTTGGCTATCAAAATAAAACCTGAAACTGAGCTGTCTGAGGAATAGGAAGAATGACTAGTTCTAGAAGCCCCCGGTTGGCTCCCCACCCCCGCCCCACCCCCCACCTCCGAATAATGTGCCTGCATTTCAATCATCTACCACAAAGCAAATCTCACTATCGAGTTTCAAACAGTGCTTGAGGAATGGCTTATGTCTTTGCCCAACAACTTAAACCCATGACAGGTAGTCATCAGAGGGAACCAGGGTGCCTCTCTGGTCATCATTCCAGGAATTCCTAAAGCACCAGTTACTAAAAATAGTCCCCAACTAGGAAGGTTTCCAAACCCAGTTTCTATGAACTTATCGTTTACTTCCCCCCACCAACAAATCAAATACCTATCAAAGAGTATAACTTGGATAAACTCCAATCACTTTGGGTTCATCACACACACCTACTTTCTGTTAACTCTTAAACTCTGAAGACAGCGCTGTGCTAAGAATCCCACAAGGTGAGGGCGGCATTCTTTCCTGGTCCAGGATCTCCACCCTTCTTTTGAAAAACATGACAACTTGTAAAGGGTCACAGTTGTAGTTCAAACACAACAAGTCAAGTCCAGACAACTCAAGAGCTCTGGCCTGATGCTTTTAGAAATTATATAAAACATCCTAGCCAATGTCGAGCTCAGCTTATAAAGACCTTTCTGGAAGCCAGGAGGGTGTTCCAGCACTCTTTGGAAGATCTCTAAAGCAAAGCACACATTCATAAATTTAATTTATCTTGAAGCTCACATATGATATTTTATCACTTGTCTCTGATTGTTGGTCAAGACAGTGTAGCTAAGCCCAGCCCAATAAGTTTAATTTTAAGCCAACAGATAGTAAGTCTTATTGCCATCACTTACACCTGCTTACAGCAGCCTGTAGGCAGAATGCCGACAGCTCAGTGAGAATGGGCAGTACTGAGAAAGACTTACGCGAAAGCTCAAAAACTTTTCAAGAGACGGCGCCTTAGCTAGAAGTTCTACAGAAGGGACATAACTCAGAACGGCTCTGAAATATCTTTTGCCCATCACGCTCCTTCCTAAGGGAATTACTACTCTTCCTCCTCGTGAAAAAATGACAAGATAATTACTGAAACAGAAGGCTCCAGGAGGTTGACCGTCAGCAGAGAAAACCAGGGCTTCGGGGTCTTCAGCTGAGAATTGGATGTCAGCGCACCAACAGGAGCAGAAGTCTCTTAATAAAGAGGAACCTGGTCTCCCCCTCCTTCCAGCAGAGCCGTCGCCAAAGACCGAGGGCAGGCATTTGCAGAGAGGAGTCTCTGTCACCAGCAGCCTCTTGCTCTTTGGTTATTTCCTAGAATAGAAGAGCCGAGCTGTTCTTGGGAAAGCCAGCCTTACAACCTCTCTTGTTTTCTTTCAAAAATAGCTTTCGTCACCCCAGGCAGGGAGGCAGGGTGAGGTTGCACTTCCGGCCTGGCTCACATCAGAGGCATGCTGGCTGGGGGGGGGGGCTGAACAGCAGCTCCTGCTGGACCAGCTGTCAGGGATGGCTGTGCAGCTGGGGACACACGGTGGCTCTAGGGATGCTGTCATTCCAAAACCTGGGAAACACTTCCAGGGAAGTGAGCCTCTTTCCTTAGCATCTTCAGGCCATTTTCAGTTAACCATCCTCAGAGTACATTGCCAGAACCACGTTGATGAATTAGGGTCAATGCGGCAGTGCCGGCACAATGCCACCAGCCTTTCCAAATACCAGCCATGCCGCCCACGGTGGACAAGTTTCAATGACACTTCCGGGTTCAGACTCGTACGGAAGGCCTGGGGACTGACTTGTGAGCGTGACATGGTGAACACCCGAGGGAATCCAACAGAGTCTTATTTGGGAGGATGAGCTCTCTGGGTCGGCCGCCCATCAAAGGTGGTCACGGCGAGAGACTCCAGAAGACCGTGGTCATGAAGATGGGCAGAGCAGGCCGTTGTTTCATCCTCTGGTCTGGAGAGGGTGTTAGGAGTCCACACCGGTGGGCGGGCACCCAGCAGTCACATCTACATGGGCACCAACACTGGGAGAGTCAGCACACCATTGAGCACCTGGAACTGCAGCTCTTGACTAGTTCTTAGGAGCCGTGTGTTCCTTCCCCGAGGATGGGCCTCTACATAAGACCCATGGATGGCACGTTACACTTTACATTGGTATCGTAGTCACGCTCACCAGACTTGTTGCCGTTTGAGGGTCCTGACACAGGCCTGTGAGCCATGGAGAAACGTGTGTTGCCCTCACCCCCAGGTAGAATGGGGCAGTGGAAAGAGCATGGGCCCGGGAGCAACCCGATGGAGACTGGAGTTCAGTCTGTCGCATTCCTTGCATGACTTCACATCTGTCATTCACCCTCTTGGGGGTGCAATTTCCTCCTTCACCACTCACTGCCATTCAGCCAGTTCCGACTCATTGCGACCTGGGTGTTGGAGGGGTTACTTGTTGAGCTGCTAACTGCGAAACCAGCCATTTGAAACCAACAGATGCTCCGTGGGAGAAAGATGAGGCTTTCCAGCCCTGTAAAGAGTTACAGCTGTGGAAATCCACAGGGGCCAGTTCTGTCCTGTGCTGTCTGGCTGCTGTAGTCCTTAATCATAGATGTGATAATATGTACGTCACAAGATGGCTTAGAGAACTAAATGAGCTAGAAGGAATGGGTGGGGAGACGAATAGAAATTGATAAGGAAAAATAAATGGGAAATCCTCAGTTCCCAGTCCAAAGGTACATGATTAATTATGAACGTGCTCAGTTGGTCGCTGAAGGGGTGGAACTTGGAGCTGACCAGAGGTACATAGGTAGAAAGGCCTGGTGATCTGCTTTCAAAAATCCAGCCATTGCAAACCCATGGAGTACAGGTCCCCCATGACACACATCAGAAGAGATCCCATGGCAGCAGGTTTTATAAGATCTTGTCAGTGATGCCAGGCTTATCAACTATCCACCAGGAATGTCTTCTCAACAGTTCCCAAACTTATTTGCTTAGGGAACCATTTTGTCCCCACACACCTCCCAAGTTCTCGAGGTAAAGAAAAGAAAGGAAGGAAGAAAAACAACTGAAAACTGAGCCATCGAGTTGAGTGGGATTCAGTGATCCCATAGGACAGGGTAGAACTGTCCCATCAAATACCAACAGCGTCACCCATGATGGACAACCTTCAGAAACTTCCAGATTCAGAGGGAAGACCTGGGGATCCAACAGTGCTGCTGGTCCACTTGCTGCTCTATGAGAAGCAGGAGCTGGTCTCAACCAACTCATGAAAAATTAATACAAAACTGCTTTTACCCATATATTTCATGTTTGCTGAAATCCCACAGGTACCCCTCTTCCTCCCCAAACCCAACCTCAGTCTGGTCCTCTGTGTCCCCTTATATGGCGTGACCTGCCTGTCAGCTGCTTGTGCTAGAATACGGAGTCACCAACACAACCACCTATGTGCCACACATGTGCCCTCTCCATCTCTGTGCTCACATCCAGAGCTGCAGCAATCAGCTACTCTGGCCTGAACTCCTGAACCGACAGTCTGTCCCTTGGCCTCTCTCTAATACCCTCAAAATGACTTTTTCAAAAAGTATGAACCTCAAATTAAATGATTCTTGACTAAATCCTTCCGTGGCTTGTCATTGCTTCTCTCTTGGATAAAGTTCAAGATTCTCTTCAAAACTCTCTTTCATGCTCATCTTTCTTCTAGAATCAAACCATACTGACTTTCTTTTAGCTTCTCATAGTAACCTAGCTCCCTCCCACCTCAAGCCTTTTCTCAGGCCATCTGCCTCAATGTCTCGCCCCAGCCTCCACCTCTCTCCTCTCCTCCTGAGGCTCCGTACAAACACACCAGATCAGCCCCTAGAGCCTTCCCAGATCTGATTATAAGCCTCCCAGGACTCTGCACTTCTCTTTCAGAACAAGCACCATTCCTGCCGTTAATAAACCGAGTTTTTTATGTTGGTCTCTGCGGGAATTTAGGGACTCTGCTTTTCCAGTATTCTAATACAACCTCTATGGTTAGTAAAACATGGTGCATAGTAGGCACTTTGGAGTAAGTTGGTACGATCTTACATCATCTAGGTCTTCTTGCTGGGTCTTTGGAACACTCTAGAACATGGATCTTGGGGTGTATGTGTGACAAAAAGGTTTCCATTTGAAATCATGTTGAGAACTGGTGAGGTTTTCCTGGTGAATACTTGTGAAATCCATTAATATTAAAAAATAAATCACTGCGATAGGCTTCTAACTGCAAAGCCAGCAGTTTGAAACCACCAGACACTTTTCAGGAGAAAGAGGAGGCCTTCTACTCCTAGAAAGAATTACAATCTCAGAAATCCACAGGGACAGTTCTACCTTGTCCTCTAGGGTGGCTATGAGTGGGAATAGACTCATTGGCAATGAATTTGGGATTAACATATCAAAGGATCTGTGAGATCAGTTGCCATGAAAAGTGATGGAGGCAGGGGAAGACATTGCAAGGTTTCTAAGCCTTAAAGGAAACAGAGGTAATTCCCTCTCTTGTATACAAAACCCTGCAACCATGGTGATCTACGGGTAGACACTTGGATACACATGTAGGCTGAACAAGCACAGGAGGAAGAGTGGGAGTATACTTACAAATATATATAAAACTCACTGCCACAGAGTCAATTCTGACTCATAAGGACCCTATAAGACAGGGTAGAACCACCCTTGCGGGTTTCTGACACTGTAACTCTTTATGGGAGTAGAAAACAGCCTTGTCTTTCTCTCTTGGAGTGGCTGGTAGTTTTGAACTGCTGGTCCTGCAGTTAGCAGCCCACTGTATAACCACTATGCCACCAGGGTTCTCTATACAAATATATATGTATATATATGTTAGATAAAAGATATTTGTATCTGTGTATTTATTTTTGTTACAAACATATTCATGAATGTGGCGGAGCATTTAGGGGATGAAGTTCTGAAAACTTCTGAGATTTAACCAAGCACCTTGAAGGAATGAGTCATTGGCCCAGGAGATCAGACCATAGTCTTGAGAGACACCAAAATTAATGTGATCACAAAGACAATGTTCTACAACCCACTTTGGTGAGTATTGACTGGGTTCTTACTCGTGAGAAGGCATCTAAGGTGCAATCATTGGTTTCTCCCCGATCAAGAAGAAAGAAGAGTGAAATAGGAAGTGAAAAATAGAAAGGCATATGTCAACCCTTAGTCCACCAGATGAATGAGCCCCACAAACACCCGTCTTCACAACCCAGAGACCGGAAGAACTAAGTGGTGCCCAGCTCCCAATAACAATAACTGCTTTGAAAAGGATCTCATCAGAAACTCCTGGATAGAGTGGGAGAAAAAGGTGAAACAAAACAAAATCATTAAAGAGACTAGGCTTACTGGTTCCATAGAGCTTGACGAGACCTCCACGTCACTAATTCCCTCGTCCCACCTTTCAGGTCTGGCACGAAACACCTCTGCATGAGAATGACAAACCCTTTTAGATCCAAAGGGCAGTGTTTTCCCGAGGACAGAGTTCAGAGGGATGGGAAAGAAGGAGGAATGGGAACTTGAAGAGCAGGGAGGAAGCAGAATAAGTGATGGTACCCGGAGGCGATCACAATGGATGTGTTGAAACAAACAGTATGAATGTGTGAACATAAAACTGATCGCCTGCTCTGAAAACCT